TATCCATGGCCGATCCACGATTGGAGTTCCCCTGGCTTCCAGACCCTGAATTCCTTGTCTAGGGCTCCTTATCCAGTGCCCACACCGTATGAGGAGTCACGACTGGTGCCCTGTACTGAGGGTTTATACGACGCTTTCGGGGCCGTAGCAACCGAGTGGCCACATATCAGAGAAAGGGGGCCGAACGGTCATCCCCCGTCCCTGGGTGCGTGGCCGACGCGGAGTTCCGCGGCGAGGATTATGGTTTTCTGTTTGTTGTCGTCGCCCTTGCCCGCGACCCGCCCGCGACTCACCTGCGACCCACCCCGCGACCCACCCCGCGGCCCACCCGCGACCCACCAACATTGCTTTGACAAAAATTCGGCGCCTGCGTCGGACTCGTTGTATACGTTGTAAAGAATTGGCGCCTGCGGCGAGTTCCTTCAGAGCCTCGCAGACTTCCGACAGCCCTGCCGCCGCCACATTCTTATCCGCATTTGCGGGGGCGATGTCATGCTTGAAGTAAGTTCGTACAGTAAGCAGCCAACTTTGCGATTGCGGCCACTATACGGGATATTGTATAGTATTCATTGTGGTAGTCGCATGGTAGTCGTATGAATGATTTCACGCGGTGCATCGTGCAACCTTCGGGCCGTTCAGATTGGTCATGTGGTCTCTGGGGTGCGTCATCAATGCATCGGGTTGTTCACGTGAATCCTGCCTCGCAATGGAATTCAATCCATATGTTCGTGCAAACCCTTGTGTCCGTTCAAATCAGATGCTCGCACAAACCTTGTTGCACTGTCTCCCAAAACTGGCACATACGCAATCCTCATAATTCCACAGCCCCAAAGCTGCAAAATTTTTATAGTCGTGAAAGCCCATGGATGGTCGTACAAACCATCTTGCTCTTATGACCAGGGGCCCCCCATGTGGAGTGTAACATGCGCTACATGAACAAGGAGTTGGCGAAATGAGTCTGGTCCATGCAGGCGCCGGGGCCCATTGGGAACCTCAGGCGGAGTTCCCCAACTTGCACACGAGATGCGTGATGTGTGGGTCGAAATGGGCTGGCGACTTGCATGCTGGCATGCCCACTAGTGACGTCGACAGAGGTCCCGATGGACGCGAAGCTCGGAAAGAGCTCTGGCAGGGGAGGGGGAGGGGGTTCCAACCCCCCCCCCCTCCCCCCCCCCACACCAGGGGGTGGGGGGGGTCGGTAACCGGGGGATCCCCCCCCCCCCGAAAAACCACGGGGATGTGCAAACACCCCTCCGAAACCTCCCCCCCCCTTATAGCCGCCTGCAGCCGCCGCCGCCGCCGCCGACGACGACGACGACGCATTCTTGCGCCAGCGGAGGGAGGGGTTGGGGTTCGAACCCCCCCCCCTCCCCAGGCTCTCCCGGGGGGGGGTTCGAAACACCCCCTCCCAACGCGCCGCCGGCAAACGACGACGAACGACGACGACGACGACGACGACGACGACGACGACGACGACGACGACGACGACGTCGCAGATCTGCGCCTGCGCCCGTCCACCAGCGTTGGAGAAGAAGGACGAGGGAGAGGAGCGGGGGAGGAGGAGGAACAGCAGCGGTGGTTCGGGGGTGGCAACGGCAGTGGGCGAGAGAACGCGAAGAGGAGGGGGAGGAGAAGGAGAAGGAAAAGGCGAAGGAGGAGGAGGAGGAGGAGGAGGAGAAGGAGGAGAAGAAGGAGGAGGAGGAGGAGGAGGAGGGGGTGGAGAAGGAGGAGGAGGAGCAGGAGGAGGAGGAGGAGGGGGTGGAGAAGGATGAAGAGGAGGAGGAGGAGGAGGAGGAGGAGGTGGAGAAGGAGGAGAAGGAGGAGGAGGAGGAGAGAGGAGGCAGACTGTATACGCATCAGACTTTAGTGTCCCGCCCTCCAGACCCGACCCGCCCGATAGGGTCCGCCCGCCCGACCCGCCCGATAGGGTGTGCCGGTCCCGACCCGCCCGTTAGGGTGCGCATGTATACGCATCAGATCTTAGTGTCCCGCCCGCCCGACACCACCCGCCCGATAGGGTCCGCCCGACCCGCCCGATAGGGTCCGTCACCCGCCCGATAAGGTTCTCATGTGTCATGGTGTATACGCCTCAGACTTGAGTGTCCCGCCCGCCCGACCCGACACGCCCTTTTAGGGTCCGCCCGCCCGACACGCCCTTTTAGGATCCGCCCGACCCGGCCCGCCTGATAGGATTGCAAAAAAACCAAGGATTGCAAAAAAACCCAGGATTGCAAAAAAACGAAGGATTGCAAAAAAACGAAGGGTTTTTTTGCAATCGGTTGTTTTGTTTTTTTGCAATCCTGGGTTTTTTTGCAATCCTTCGCTCATGTGTCATGCTGTATACGCATCAGGCTTCAGTGTCCCGCCCACCCGACCCGACCCGCCCGATAGGGTCTGCCCGTCCCGACCCGCCCGATAGGGTCCCGCCCGTCCCGACCCGCCCGTTAGGGTGCTCATATGTCCTGCTGTATACACCTTATGCGATGCTTAAGAAAACCTAAGTATTCGGCCAGAGTCTCGATTATTCTTAACGTTTCAATGTAAATCTCAAGATTTCAATAGAAATGTTGGGATTTTATTCAAGTTCTGAGACTATGAATTTCTTAACCCATGATTTCTTAAGCATTTCGCGGGGTGTACGCATCAGGCTTTAATGCCCCGCCGGCCCGACCCGACCCACCCCATAGGGTCCGCCCGACCCGCCCGATAGGGTCCGCCCGCCGCCCGACCCGCTCGATAGTGTCCGCCCGTCCCGACCCGCCCGATAGGGTGCTCATGTGTCATGGTGGATACGCATCAGACTTTAGTGTCCCGCCCGCCCGACCCGACAAGCCCGTTAGGGTCCGCCCGTCCCGACCAGCCCGATAGGGTCCGCCCTTCCCGACCCGTCTGGTGGGGCTCTCATGTGTCATGGCGTCTACGCATCAGACTTTAGTGTCCCGCCCGCCCGACACCACCCGCCCGATAGGGTCCGCCTGCCCGACCCGTCCGATAGGGTCCGCCCGTCATCGTCGTCGTCGTCGTCGACGTCATCTTCGTCGTCGTCGTCTTCGTCGTCGTCGATTTCGTTATCGTCGTTGTCACGTCGTTGTGTCGTCGTCGTCGTCGTCGTCGTCGTCGTCATCGTCGTCGTCGTCGTCGTCGTCGTCGTCGTCGTCGTCGGATGCGGCGGCGTCGGCGGCGGCTGCCACCGGCGTGTAGTAGTAGGAAGGGGGGGGTTCGAACCCCCCCCGCCCGCCAGGCGCACGAATGCGTCGTCGTCGCCGCCGCCGCCGTCGTCGTCGTCGTCGTCGTCGTCGTCGCCGTCGTCGCTTGCAGGTGGCGAGTAGGAGGGGGGGTGAGGGGGGGGGGGGGGGGCGGGGTTCGAAACCTCGAAACCCCTTGGGGGGGGGGGGCCAAGGGAAGGGGAGGGGGGTCGAAACTCCCCAGGGGGGGCCCGGGGAGGGGGGGGGAGGGGTTCGAACCTCCGGGTTTTTTGGGGGAGGGGAGGGGGAGGGGTGGGGTGTTGTGCAGGGGAGGGGGTTGGGGGTGGGGATCCACCCGGTGTCCGACCCCCCCCCTCAGCGACTTTTGTTTCGAGGGGGGGAGCCCCCCCCGGTTCTTGGACCCCTCCTCAGGGATTTTTGTTCAGCAAGGCCGCGGTGGATCGCGCTCCCCCATCCCGCAAGAGGAGAGGTGGGTCGGAAAGGGTCGGCGATGTGATGCGGGCGTGCCCATTGGGAATATAGCTGGGGCCTCCACGTGCCTGCTGGGTCTTGAAGGGGTTCTGCAGTCCTTGGCTTGGCCTTCTCGAGCCCTCCCCCTCCTGGGTCTCCTGCCTTGTCACCATCACCCCGTGCACTCTCATCCTCACCCCTCCTCCCTTGTCCCCCCCCCCCAGTATCCTCCGTCAGCATTGCCTTTTCCTCCTCCCCACCTCTCTCTCGTTCTCTCTCCCTCTTTCTTCCGAGGGAAGCAGGAGGAGGAGGAGGAGGAGACAGACGCAAGAACGGCGAAGACCGAGGGTGAGGGGAGGGAGGAAGGCTGACCCCCCCATCCCCCCAGGGTAGACTGGACGCGCGGCCTTGGGATATGCCTTGTCGCTGTGATCGTCGTGTTCGCGTACGGTGCCAACGTCGTGATGATCCGGGCGGGGAGGGGAGGGCCGGGCAGGACTTCTATACGGTCGGGAGTTTGGGCCCAGCGTGTCGCACCGCCTCCTCCTCCTCCTCCTCCTCCTCCTCCTCTCTCCTCCTCCTCCTCCTCCTCCTCTCCTCCTCCTCCTCCCCCTACTCCTGTTCTGGCCCACCACGCTGCGGCGCGACACGCTGACCGTCCGCCCCGCGGAGCGGAGCGACACTCCGCCCGGTCGCAGGGCATGGCGTGTCGCCGGTGCCGCCGCCGCGGCACGCGGAGCAAAAGTTCCCGGCCCAAGGGGTGGCGGCCTTTCTGCCACGGCCCCCCCGGCGCCCCGCCCCGTTCTGCGCGCTTCGCCAGCGGGGGCGGGAGGCGAGGGAGGAGGAGGAGGACGGGGAGGAGGAGGAGGAGGAGGAGGAGGAGGAGGAGGAGGAGGAGGTGGAGGAGGTGGAGGAGGAGGAGGAGGAGGTGGAGGAGGTGGAGGAGGTGGAGGAGGAGGAGGAGGAGGAGGAGGAGGACGAGGAGGAGGAGGAGGAGGAGGAGAAAGACGATAACGTGAAGTGGGGGAACTCGCTTCTGCGGAGCACCCCCTCCATGCACGTCGAGCGCTCGCCGAAATCTCTGTCGATTGAGACTCCACATGGAGGAATGCCGTGGTCAGCCTTTTTGGAGGGAATGCGCCGATGTTGGCCAGGGCCCCGAACCCTCGTGTTCCCGCATTCGCGTCTGTGAACAGCGCTGACATCAATGATGTAGGCCTGCGCGCATCCGCAGCCATTTTGGCTCAAGAGCCAGGGCTCGAGCCCGCAGACCCTGGCGCTCCTCCCTGCGGGCGCGAGCCGCCGCCGCGCGAGCGGCCCCCTCGCGCGCGCGCGCTGAGAGCCATGGGGCGCGGCATGATGCAGATCAACCCCATGAAGGATCAGCAGAAGAGGAACAAGCGGCAGCAAGAGAAGGAGGAGGAGATGGAGAAGAAGCGGGAGCTGCTCAAGCAGGAGCCCGCCGAGACACGCCGACGAAAGCCCAAGGCGAACAAGTCGGCGGACAATCTGTCCAGGGGCGTCGGGGCGCTCTTTGGGTTCCTCGCGGTCGTGCTCGTGGGCCTGTGTGTGCCCTACGACCCCGGGGAGGCCACCGCCCCTGGCGTCAACGCCACGAACGCGTCCAGCCCCGGTGCCGGGAGGTGAGGAGCACGCGCGTTCCCCCCCCCCCCCCCCCGCGCGCTGCGCCGCCTCGGCGGGCCCTGCTGCTTGGGGGAGGGCGGCGGCAGGCGGCGTCTACGCGCGCTGGCGGCCCAGACGCGGTCGGGGTCCAGCGGCGGCGCTGGGCGCCGTAGGCTGGGGGCGCTGGCGAGCGCCAGCGCCAGCGGCCACAGGATCCGTCGCCGCGCGCGAGGGAAAACAGTGATTTATAGGCCTGCGCGAACGTCCTTTCTTCCAGGCGAGCCTCTGCTCGGAGAGCTTCAACTCGAATGCTATCGCAGAGGGGGCGTTCAAGGATCGTTCCTTCTCCCGTTCCCTATCCTTCCCCTCCTCCTCATCCTCCTCATCCTCCTCCTCCTTCACCTCTGCTTGCCGCGGCCCTGCCACTCGCTTCACTTCAGGACGGATGGGCACCGGGGCCAGGCGTGCGAGAGCGAGTCCAGTCCGAGACTGGCCAACCCTGCGCGGCACTCGCGCAGGCTGACGGGTTCGACCTATGATGGTGTTCCCAGCTTCCACTGGCAAACGCCCGCTGGCTACAAGAGTTTCTTGCGCCGCCCCGCAGAATTCACACCCAGTCGTTGCCTTGCCGAGGGTAGAGGAGGAGGAGGAGGAGGAGGAGGAGGAGGAGGAGGAGGAGGAGGAGGAGGAGGAGGAGGAGGAGGAGGGGGGGGAGGAGGAGAAGGAGGAGGAGGAGGAGGAGGAGGAGGAGGAGGGGGAGGTTGAGGAGCAGGGCCATGACATTCATTAGATGTGCAGTGCGGGGGCCTAGTTCGGCTTATGGAGGGAGCAGTCCTCCATGACGCACGGAGTTCTTTGTAAATGACCGTGGGAGGAGGAGGAGGCGAGGGAGGCCGAGGGGCAGGAGGAGCGACAATCATCAGCGAGGCGGTGCTTGGGCCTAGCTCGGATTATGGATCGAGGGGTCCTCCAGAACATCCGACTTGTTCCCAACCGTCCTGTCGTGTTGGGTCCTCGTTTTGAATCCACAGCGCCCCGCGTCCTCCAGGCTCCAGGGGTAAAGTCCCCATTGGCGGCAACACCCGCACTCCTTGGGCCCCAGTAGCGAGTCCGCATGGCGGCATCGCCTCATTCAGGCGCACCCTCACGCGTCTCGCAGCCCAGCGAGAGGCTCCACCGAGGGCCCCAGCAGCAGTGCCCGCATGAATTCACCGCCCCATGTCGGCGCACTCTTGCTCGCTCCGCGGCCCCATAGGGAGCTCCTCCGAAGGTCCAGGCGATAAAGTCCGCATGGCCCCCGTCCTATTACGGCGCGCTTCTGGGAGAGTTCGTGCCCCCCCAGGGAGCTCCCCCAAGCGGCAAAGTCCGCACGCTGCCACCTAGCCATGCTGGCACACCCTTCACACGATTCGTCTCCATCCTTTGTATCACGTGCCTTGCGGTATTCACAGCTGCGTGTGGTTGTATGGTTGGGCCCTCTGACAGGATAATTTACAAGAAGAGTGGAAGAACGAGGAGGGGGAGGTAGAGGAGCAGGAGGAATAGGAGAAAATGAAGGTTAGGAAAAGGTTAGGAGGAGGAGGAGCAGGAGCAGGAGCAGGAGGAGGAGGAGGAGGAGGAGGAGGAGGAGGAGGAGAGGGGGACAAGGAGGACGAGGAGGACGAGGAGGAGGATCGGGACGAGGAGGAAAAGGAGAGGAGGAATATCACTGCGAGGGCAGAAGTAGGATGAGGCGGAGGGAGAGGATCGAGAGATGACAGCCCACCACCACACCCACCAGGGCGACTGTTACATGTGTTTCGAAACACTTGTGGATGTAGTCGACGCGCCCCACGGCGGACATCACAAATTGTAGCATTGTTGGTTTGTGTGCAGTTGCATAAAATCGCCGCTCGCTGTTCAATAAAACCACTTTTGTGTGCTTTATGAGATCCGCGCTCGCGTTTACACAAATGCGCCGCTGCACGTGCTTTGGAAGACGCGATCTGATAAAGATTCCAGGGGATCTCGCACGTTGCAGTTGTTTCCAAAACGCCTCGCACATTCAGAAGACATGTGCAGCGGACGTTGACTGACCCCCTACCCTGGCACGTCGATCTGCGAATCGGCCGTCTTCGGTTCGCGAGAGGGCGTCGCGGCCGTCGTTTTTGCAGGCCCAGGTCTGTCGGTTTCGGTCCTGGGCCGCTGTCACTGAAGGGTAGTCTATCAAAAGGGAGGCTTGTCCACCGCCGAGTGCATTATAAAAACGGGCTTGCCCGCCGCTCGGCGCTGGTGGGCTCTGCAGTTCGTCGCGGGTCGCCGCCGAAGCGCCACGCCGCCGAAGCGGCGGTCCTCGGGCCGCGGGCCGCGGAGAGAACTTTTCTGCGGAACCAACAGCGTGTGATGTGTTGGGGGTGGGGGTGGCCCAGGTTGCCTTCGTCGTCGGAGGAGGAGGAGGGGCAGGAAGGAGGAGGAGGAGGAGGAGGAGGAGAGCGGATGAGGGCGGAGGGGCACTCGGAGGAGGAGCTGGGTGGTGGCTGGGAAGCGGAGGGCGAGGAGGAGGAGGACCGTTTTGGCGTTGCGCGCGCCATTGACGCCGCGATCTGTCCATGCGCGCATCCAGAGATCCTTCCGCCCGACATCCCCTCACGAGTCAAAAGCACCCCTTCCCCCCCTTCCGGCGAGCGCCCGCCGGCAAGATGAGAGGCGCCGCCTGGCCCGCCGCTGGGGCTCGGGCCTATTGCGGGGGAGGGGGGGGCCGGGCGCACGACTGCGGATTTCTGCCGGACCGACATGCGGCAGGGCTTTCGGGGGCGGCCAGGAGGGGGGCAATGATTTGGGGGGGGATATTTATATCGGGGGCCAGGAGGTTTCCCCAGATTTCACGGCGCCTCTTCTTATTTCATTGCGTCCCTGGCCCCGCCCCGGGGCCGCGCACGTGCCGCCAGCCATGATTTGCGCCCCTTCCCCTCTCTTGCGCCCCCCTCATGGCCGCCCCCGATGTGAGAGGGCGCGTGGAGCCCCTAAACGATCACGCGATTTCGAAAAGGAGCGGCCTCCGTTCATGCAGTTGTAGAGTTTTAGTCGGGCGTGTCCCTCCACTCGAGGAATATCCAAACATAGTCAGGGGACGATTCTCTGTTTCTGTTTGAACATGTTTTATTTTTCATTTATCAGCCAACATCCGCCTGCAGGGGGACACGCCCGACCTAATTGTAGGAGCCTTTCTCGTTCATGAGCAAAAAATTCAGGATGCTTCGGCCGAGAGTCCGGTGTTGAAAAGGAACTGCCTCCATGCATGAGTGGAACGTAAGAAAGTCCCAGGCGAGAGTCAATAGATGTTGAATCGTGCGACCGTCAGAAGTACCCACGTAGCTCTGCTATTGCATAGATGGGGGACTCTACGACCGGGAGGGGGAAGGAGAGGAGATGTCGGGGTGGGGAGGAGGAGAGCATTGCGTCTCCTTCTTTTTCTTCCTCCCACACCTCTTTGCTCCTCCAACCCCCTCCCCTCCTCATGGCGCCCTCCGCCTCATTCACGGGGCGAGGCGCTGTGGAACACCGACTGGTCAGACGGCTTGGCCTACAACGAGCGTCGCCCTCAGCATTCGTCTGGGGCATTCCGCGGATGAGCCACCCCAGAGAGTGCAAAGAGTTGACCTATCCCTTTAATTGCCCTTACCATCCTTCTTCTCGCCCTTCCTCCCTCCCTTACCTCCCTTTTTCCGCACCTTCCCTTCATCACTCCCTCCCCTTCCGTCCCCCCCCTCGTTTTCACACCCTCTCGTATCCCTCGTTCCTTCTCCCTTCGTCTCTGTTTTCCCTCTTGCTATATGTGTGTGTGGGTTTCGTTCCTCCCTTGCCAGTTTCCTTATCCTTGCATTGCTGTCTGCCACAGGAGGAAGCGCCTTCACTCACAGTGGCATGGGCCGCCGCATGGACTCGGTGGGGACCCCCGTCCGCTGCTTGACCTCAGGGCTGGACCTAAAGGCGGTTTTGCTGGACTTCGGCTGTGTTTTGTTTTCCGTTGTGGCAGGGAGGTACAGGAAAACAGGCAGAGCAGAACGACAAACACAGCGGAAACAAAACGAAAAATTGAGTGCAGGTCCAGCCCTGGCCTGACGTGTTCTCAGAGTCTTGCGGCGCTTTCGGGCTGCGGAAGGGGGGACAGCGCACTGTGGCGCGGCGTCTGCCTTGCAAATTCCGCCTGCTGGCGGCCAGGGCTCGCGGGCTGCCCGCTTCGAGGGGGTGGCTCGGCGTGCCTTGGCAGCACCGGCTGGGCCCGCGGGGGGCGTGCGGCGTGGCCGCCGCACCTTCCGGGCCAGCCCACACCACGACAGACTCTGTGCGTCGGCGGCTGGGCAGTATTCTACTGCTCCGGCGATGTGGCATCAGCGGGGCGCACAGAAGGCAGATTGGGCCGCGGTGCACACGAGAGAGAGAGAGAGGAAGCCTGGCGCGGGCGGGGGGGAGAGGAAGGCGAGCCCACTCAGCGCAAGACACCACACCACAACACACACACACACACCCCTCCTCCTCCGCTTGTTCCTCCTATTGTACCCCCTGTCCTTTGTCAACTGCGACTCCTCATCATCGTTGTCCTGAACATCGTCATCCCGCTTCTCCTCCCAGGCAACCATCCTTTCCTCGTGCTTCCCATGTCCTCTTTTCGGTCTGGTCATAGTTTCCGTTGCCTCGAGGTGCCGCCGTTGCAGCCGTCCGTGTCCTCTCTGCGGCTTCCGTGTCTTCGTTCCACCCCGCTCCACCATAACGACAAGTGGTCGGTTCTTCCTCTTTGGGGGGGCAGTTTCACATCGCTGTGGGTGGGTGCACGAGACACATACGATGAGGCTCCAGCGGGCATGTTTGTTGTTACAGCGCTTGTGATTTTGCAGGTTCAGACTATAATGCGTGAGTTTGCGAAATCGTGTAAATAAGCGTTGACCCAAAAAGATCGAGTACGTGTCTCGGCTTGGTTCGGAATTGTTCCCAACCAGCTCAGCAAGGCTGATAAGATCAAGAGGTTAACGTCATTGTTCCTGGCCGCGAAGTGTGATAACCCGTTCCTGCTCATGCGCCCCCATTCCCCCTCACTCGTTTTATAATTATCCCAGTGCGACCCTACCTAGGAGTTGGAGCATTTAGGAAAGCATCATCTTCATCTACACCGACAGCTACATTCAAATCTACACCTGCATCTATGCTATGCTATGCTATGCTGCGCTATGCTATGCTATGCTGAGCTATGCTATGCTATGCGATGCTATGCTGAGCTATGCTATGCTATGGTATGCTTGGCTATGCTATGCTATGCTATGCTATGCTATGCTGTGCGAATGCTGCGCTGCGCTATGCTGCGCTAAGCTAAAGCTAAGCTAAGCTAAGCTAAGCTAAGCTATGATCAGCTAAGCTAAGCTAGGCTAGGCTAAGCTAAGCTAAGCCAAGCTAAGCTAAGCGAAGCTAAGATGAGACAAGCTAAGCTAAGCTAAGCTACAATGAGGTCAGCTAAGTTAAGCTAAGACGAGATAAGCTAAGCTAAGCTCAGCTCAGCTAAACTCAGCTAAGATAAGCTAAGCTACGCTAAGCTAATATGAGATAAGCTATGCTAAGCCAAGTTAAGCTAAGCTAAGCTAAGCTAAGCTAGGCTACGCTCAGCTATGCTAAGTTTAGCTGAGCTACGTTAAGCTAAGCTAAGCTAAGCTAAGCTAAGCTAAGCTAGGGGGACCCAGGGAGCGCGACTGGGGGAACCGCGGGGCGGGCACTGGGGGAACCGCCCGGGGCGCTTTCCACTGCCCGGCCCCTTTAAGCTAACAGAGTAAGAACCCTTCTAGGCAGAGCCTAGGTAGGGAAATACACATGTTCTGTGATGACTATCTCTCGCTCTCTCTCTCTCTCTCTCTTTCTCTCTCTCTATCTGTCTGTCTCTATCTCTCTCCTCTCTCTCTCTGTCCATATTTCTCTCTCTCTCTCTCTTTCCATAGTTCTCTCTCCCTCGTTCTATACATATATATACACATATATCTATATGTGTGTGTCCCTTTATGTGTTGCTTTCTTTCTCTCTGTCTCCCTCTCCCTCTCTCTGCTCTCTCTCTCTCTGTCTCTCTCTCTCTCTCTCGTTCTCTCTCTCTCTCTCTCTCTCTAGGTGTGTGTATATGTATTTCTGTGTTCGGCACACTCTTTCTCACACACACACACACTCTCTCTCTCTCTGTCTCCCTTCCTCCCTCTCCCTCCCCCCTCCCGAACACTCCGCCCCACCCCCCCCACACCCACCCACCCACCCACCTTTCTCACTTCCACCTGTCATCTGCCCCGCCTCACCCTATGTTTGCTTCCCTCCCCTCGCCTCTTTCGTTTGTGTTGCTTCTTTCTGTGTGGGTGCCAATCCGCCTGCATTGCCTTCCTCATCTCTCCCCTGCTTCCCTCCAGCTCCTCTCCGCCCCCAGTGTCATTACATCAGCCTCCCTTGCTGCTCATGCCGCTCCACTCCGTCCATCCCCACTATCTTCAATCTGTCCATTCATCACTCCGTCCATGCCCAGCCTCTTCCATCTGTCCATCTATCCCCTGCCGACCCGCCCCCGCATTCCCTGCCCCTCCTTCGCTCGCTCTCCCCTCCATCAACACCGACCACCCTGGAGCATCAATCACGACGACACGCCCACCAAGCGACGCAGCACCACTTGCACACGACGATTTCAACAACAAAGACAGACAGACAGCACGGCCACGATCACGACTACGGTCACGTTCACGACCGCGAGTACGACCACGAACACGACAACGAGTACGGCCACGACGAGTACGTCCACGACCATGGCCATAGGTACGGTTCGCGCCAGGACAGTCAGGACAGTACCGGCCCCGACTACAGCTAGGACCACCCTGCTGTCGCCAGCTCCGTCCCCGATTCCGAGCGCAGCCCCAGAGCGCTGGCTCCGGCTCCAGCTCCGGCTCACCATCCGATGCCATCTCCGACTCAGACTCCGGCTTTCCAACTGCAGCTCTTAGACCCCAGTTCCTACCCCAGTTCCGACTCCGGCTCCGACACCGATCGTGGGGACAGCACGACGGCGTGCAGCATTTTCACCCCGACATCCATTTGTGCGCATCACGACGAGGACTGGCACGACCATGGCGACCAGCAGTTTCAGAGAGACGCTGGCCACCGCGAGTTCGACGAGTGGCTTCAGCACCAGCGCCTTGGCTGGCAGCGCCGATGGCATCCGGGAGGATTGGCACTCGGCCGCTCCACCCAGCAGACCGCGCCCTTCTGGGTGCCGCACGCCGACTCTGGCGTTCGCTGCTTGCTGGCAGCATGGTCTGGCGATGGGCGCCGGGACCCAAATTGAATATACGATTTAGGTATTCGTTCGACTTGCATTTCTTTTCGGACCGCGTCACTGTCTTCGCCGGCCGTTATATTACGCGTCTTGCTCCTCCTCCTCGTCCTCTTCCTCGTCCTCCTCCTCCTCCTCCTCCTCCTCCTCCTCCTCCTCCTCCTCCTGCGAGCCCCGAAGCGCGGTCGATGACGCACGCCCGCTCGCCGCCCCCTCTGAGCTTCGCTGGGAGCCGAGGACCTGGTGGGCGACCGCGAGCAGCGGCCGGCGGCCAGTCCAGCGCCGGCGCAGCCAGGCCCCCGCAGCCGCCCGCAGCTCGGCCGCCCAGCCAGCGCCGGCGCGGTCCGCGCCCAGCGCTGTCCTGAGCTGGCGGGCGGTGGCCCGGTGAAGGGCCCCGCTGAGCTCACGGCCCCACCGGGCCATCAGGGCGCGGGCGGGCGCAGGGGCGGCCGCCTCGCCGAGCAGGGCCGCCTCGCCCCGCGCGAGCTCGCGGAGGTGCCGCAGGGCAGCCTGCCCGTGCCGGCCGCCCGTCTCGAGCGCCCGCCGCACCATGCCCCACGGGGCGCGGCCAGCGGGGTAGCGCCGCTTCTTGTCGGCCTCCGCCTCGGATCTGCGCGAACGACATGGGTACGGAAAGAATGGGTACAATGCCCACAGCAGTTCCTGTCCATTTTGAACAGGACTCGCTGTCCGCGCCGCCGCGGCCTGTGTCCATTTGAAAGAGAAGGCCGCCTTCCCAACAGCGGCCGCTGTTGGTTTGGGACAACATTTGTTGTTGAGCATTGTGCCCTTTTGTTCCGTGCCCATTTCGGGCGTCCAAATCGGAGTTGACCGCGCCGTCGCGCCCGGCCGCGGCTGCCAGAGCTGCAGCGTCACTGGGCACGCAGTAGCGCACCGTGATGTCGAAGTATAGGCGAGGGCTGTCCACCAGCTGCACTTCGAGGTCGAGGTGGGCTCCTCCTCCTCCTCCGCTCGTGTGGGACATGTGTGCGAGTACTCCAGGCTATGCCCTGGTTGGCCCACGCATTCGCAAACTTGGCTGTTTTCTCCTTCTCTGTCCTCCTCGTCCTACCCTCCTGCGCGCCCCTCCTCCCCCTCCTTCTCTGGTCAGCCGCCAGCCATGGCCGCAGACGATAAATTGGCCGGGGGTGAGCTTCTGACCGTGTCAGTCTAGCGTGCACCTGGGCTGCGGGATGCGTCTCGCTCGTGAGGCTGCCCTGTTCAATTCTAGCCTGCGGATTTGCTGGCTTGTCTCTCTCTCTCTGCTTGCGCCCTCGTTGTTTCAGAGTTCTCTGTGGTACAGTGCGCATGGCCTCGTCTATTTACAGCTCGGCCGCCGTCAGGTTTTCATCCGTCTCACGTTGTGACGCAGCTTCTCTGTGGTGCTACACAGTGCTCACAAAATCCTCTCTCGCTCTCCCCTCCCATCCTTCCCATCCTGCCCTCCCTCCCTCACGCATCTTGTCGCCAGGCATGGCAGGCCGTGTCGTGTGCCAAGGCTGTTCCAGCAAGTCTTCGTCTGCTTCGTGTGCGGATGCTCGTTCCGGTCGAACCCGTTGGAGAACGGTGTTGCTATTTGGTAAGACTGGTTGTATTGCCTGCCGAGGTCGGAAGCGTGACGGCGTCAATCTTCTCCACGTGGCATGCCAACCGCGCGTTGTTGGCCGCCCACAGGCCGCTGGTTTCTTTCAAAAGAGCACGGGGGGAAGAATCGGACAGCCGTGCCCACCTCGAAGCGCTTATACTATCTCGGTCGTCGGAGGTTGATAGACCCCCTTACCCTGACACGTCGATTAGCGAATTGGCAGTTGTTTTCGGTTCGTGAGAGGGCGTTGCGGCCGTCATGTTCGCGGGACCGGGTCCGTCGGTTTCGGTCCGAGGCCGTTTTCACTACCATCAGCTGCAGCAGCATCATCACCAGCAACAGCAACAACATCATCATCATCATCATCATCATCATCATCATCATCATCATCATCATCATCATCATCATCATCTTCACTGGATTACAAAGGATTCCCTGCGGATCCCCAAGGGACGATTCGCTCCCAAGGGACCTCTAAGGATTCCTCCAGGACTCAGAGGGTGGTTTACGGAAGGGAGGTTTGTCCACCGCCGAGGTCGGCCTCCACGGCTCCTGGAGGCGGGGCCTCGGGCAAAGGGGGGGGGGCTCTCGCCACGTGTGGCACTCCAGCCGCCCCAACGCACCCCGGCATAGATCAGGCATTGCGAAGCGTGATGGTGCGTGGGGGGTGTGGATGATGAGTGTGGAGCGGGCGCGACAGCGCAAGCAGAGAGGGATGAAGAGAGAAAGAGAGAGAGAGAGAAGAAGAAAGAGAGAGACAGAGAGAGAGAGAGAACAAAAAGAGAGAGAGAGAGAGAGGGATAGGAAAAGAGAGAGAGAGGGAGCAGAAAAAGAAGGAGGGATAAAGAGAGAGATAACAAACAACGAGGCTTCGGGGTGAAATGAAAGCGGGCGTGAACCAGTGAAACCTGTGCTATCCTCCTCCTCCTCCTCCTCCTCATTATGTTCCTCCGTCTCCTTCTCCTCTTCCTCCTCCCCCTTCCCCTCCTCCTCCTCCTCCTCCTCCTCCTCCTCCTCCTCCTCCTCTTCCTCCTCCTCTTCATTTCCCCTCCCTCCCCATCCGCCTTCATCCCCCCTTCCCCTCCTCCATCCTCCCACAGCGGCAAGGAAAAACAACAGAAAACCCAAGGAAATAACAGGTGTGTTGCAGAACAATAACAAAAAACCTAAAGAAAAAACAAAAAAAAACAAGAATTCAAAGGCTTGGAATTGAAAACTAAGCAACAGCCGAAGGAAAGAAAAAATCTGGCACCCTTCTCGGTGGAGCGTAGGGGTGGGAAGGGTAAGTCTGTGGATCTTTGGCTGTTTGGTTGTTTTTTGTTGTTTTCCTTGGGTGTTTCTATGTTTTTCGGCTCCAGCCCTTTGGTTTCTTTGTTGTTTTGTTTTTCCTTTGGTTTGCTTTGGTTTTCCTTGCCGTGGTGGAAGGAGGAGGAGGAAGAGGAGCAGGATGAGGAGGAGGAGGATTGTGCTAGGATTGTGCTATTTAGGACTTACGCAGATGGAAAGCACCACGCAAGCCGCCTCACGCCTTGCAAGCCGTACTTACATAGGCGTTCCTGGTGAATGGCCGCACTCCCATAACGAATCAGTCTACCCTTGGCCGTTCTCGTTCGGGATGGTGGATACTTCCTTCACAATACCGTCCACTTACACTGACCGTCAGAAAAGCTTGGCCTAAAACACGGCTGACACGCCTGACAGTCCTTGCTGCCACTGCCTGTCTTCCCCTTCTCGCACGAGTTGATGCCAGCGTTGTAGCTAAGATATTGGGCTCCAGCTACGCCCCCCACTTCTCGCACGAAACTTGCCCAGAGCTCTCGACTAAATTGGGCTCCAGCTTCACCCCCCGCTTCCCGCAAGAGGCTTCTCACAGAGCTCCCGCCGATACTGGGCTCTAACTTCGCCCCCCACTTCTCGCAAGAGGTTGGCCCTGAGCTCTCGACACTAGTGGGCTCCAGCTTCGCCCCCCGCTTCTCGCTGATGACTCCGCTCCCACGTTCGCCCTTCTCACAATGCCGGGTGAGAGCACTGCGCCCCTTCTCGCAGGAGCTGATACCAACATTGTAGCTGATGACCCCGCTACCACGTTCGCCCTTCTCGCAATGCCGGGTGAGAGCACTGCGCCCCTTCTCGCATGAGCTGATACCAACACTGTAGCTGATGACCCTCTCCTGCGGATGCCCTGGTTCCGGTCTCACCTCCGTCTCGCGGAGCACAGCCAGAGCCTGATGCCATTGCTGGTCCTTCTCGCACGCGTCGATACCAACGCTGTAGTTAAGGACGTCTGGTTCCAGTCTCACCTCCGTCTCGCGGAGCACAGCCAGAGCCTGCTGCCACTTCCCGCCGTTCTCGCACGCGCCGACTGTAGCGCTGTAGTAAAAGACGTCGGGCACCAGCTTCACCTCCGCCTCACGGAGCCCAGCCAGAGCCTGCTGCCACTGCCCACCCTTCTCACACGCGCTTCTTTTGGCGCTGTAGCTGAGGACGGCGGGCTGTATCCCTACTCTCTCCCGCTCGCGGAGTCGGGCCAGAGTCTGCTGCCACTTCTCGCACTTCTCGCACATGCTGATTCCAGCGTTGTGGCTGAGGAAGGCGTCGGGGGGAGGAGGAGGAGGAAGAGGAGGAAGAGGAGGAGGAGGAGGAGGAGGAGGAGGAGGAGGAGGAGGAGGAGGAGGAGGAGGAGGGGGAGGAGGGGGAGGAGGAGGAGGAGGAGGAGGAGGAGGGGGGAGAGGAGGGGGAGGGGCAGGAGGAGAAGGAGGAAGTGGAGGAGAAGGAGGAGGAGGAGGAGGAGGAGGAGGGGGCAGCTAACGCCAGCTAGCACGCTGCGCCCCGACCGAGGCTCAAGCAGCTCGCTGCGCCACTCCCTGCTTTGTTTCCCCAGCAACGGGGATACCAAAGCCAAGCACTGAGGCTTTCGAGCGGAAGCGAGAGCGGAACCGCCGCTACACAAGAAAAGAAGGGAGGAGAAGAAGGCGCCGCAGGTGCGGCTTTCCAATAGAATTCCTTTTGTGGTGGTTTCCAAAGGATTCCTTATGTGAGGTTGTCCAATAGAATTCCTTTTGTGGTGCTTTCCACAGGATTCCTTGTGTGAGGCTTTCCAGCTGTGAGGCGTTCCAATAGAATCCCTTTGTGGTGCTGTCCAAAGGATTCCTGCTGTGAGGCTGTCCAGTAGAATCCCTTTGTGCTTTCCAAAGGATTCCTTTAATGAGGCTTTCCAATAGAATCCTGTTGCGATGCTTTCCAAAGGATTCCTTTTGCACGGTTTTCCAAAAGAATAATTTTGTGGTGCGTTCCAAAGGATCCATTGTGTGAGGCGTTCCAGTAGAATCCCTTTGTGGCGTTTTCCGAGGGATTCCTTGTTTGTAAGGCTCTCCAATAGAATTCCTTTGTGATGCTTTCCAACGGATTCCTTTCGTGAGGTTTTCCAATAGAATCCCTTTGTGGTGCTTTCCAAAGGATTCCTTGCGCGAGGTTTTCCCATAGAATCCCTTTGTGGCGCTTTCCAAGGGATTCCTGCTGTGAGGCTTTCCAAAAGAATTCCTTCGCGGTGCTTTCCAAAGGACTCACGTTTTCAATCAGACATGTGTCTGCAATTGACAACGATATATATATATATATATATATATATATATATATCTGTGCACGCCCGTGCTGCCCGATCCCAGCTCTTACATCAGGCTGACGTTGAGGCGCGATGACCCACGAACCCCCCTTTGGATACGTCCGAGGAGGAGGAGGGAGAGGGAGGAGGAGGAAGAGGAGGAGGAGGATGGAAGAGGTTTGAATGGTTTACGCCCGCTGCCATTTTGCAGGGGGGGGCCCCTTCACCCCCGAGCCAAACAACGAACACATAAATATAGAGGTAGAAGAGAGAGAGAGAGAGAGAGAGAGAAAAAAAAAGAGAGAGAGAGAGAGAGAGAGATGGATAGGAAAAGAGGGATGGAGAGAAAGAGAAATAAGGGATAACAAACAGAAGTAGAGACAGAGTGAGAAAAGGGAGATAGACAGAGAGAGAGAGAGATGGAAAGAGAAGAGAGAGAGAGAGAGAGGGAGAGAGGGATATTGCATATAGAGAAAGCAAAAAAAAACAACATATACACAACAAGAAAACAGGGGGAGGCGTGGAACACGTGATATATACAAACATACCGGAGGTATGTATGTCAAAGCCGACAGGGGAAGCGTTGGCAAGAGCAGGCGAAGGGCGAGCCGCGAACTGAAGTTCCGTTTACTTTGCGTTCTCCCCGACAGCCCATCCAGAAGTGAATCCCAGGAGAGTGGGTTGGACCAGGGAAGAGGCGCGGGAGCATGTAGTGACATAGACAGACGCGGGGGTGGGTGTGGGCGACAGCCGCCGTATTATATGTTCATGTGTTCTCATGTTGTAGAAAGAAGCTGAAGGGGCTATTGTAGGGTCGGCGCGGAGGGCTCGTCGGAAACGTCCTGGAGGCAACCAAACATGCCTTCGCGCAGTCTCGGATCATTGAGCTCGAACGGATCCGAAAACGCGCTGCTGCGCAAGTGGAGAAGGAGCAGCAGTAGGCGGAAGAGGGACGGACGAGCAGGATGGAGGAGCGGAGGAGGACGACGACGATGAAGAGGAGGGGCAGGATGAGCGCGAAGAGGAGAAGCTGAAGGGGAGGGAACCGTCACACGTTGCCCTGAACGGCCTCCCGTGGGGCGCGGCGAAGGCCTTCTTTCTATGGTTTCGTACCAGCGGAGAGGCGCGAATAGATCAGGATTCAATTGTAAAGGTTTTCGCGTCTTCTGGTCAGGTTGGAAAGTCCTTGGGTCGTCTCGGGAGGCAGTTGCGGCTCGGAGCCTTGGGGGCGGGGAGCATCTGGGAGAACATCGATCGGAAGAGAGCGGCGTCAAAAAGCGCCGCTCCGTCGGAGCCAAATCGAATCGGTTGTGGAGGCGTTCCCCCAGGGGCGCCCTCGAGGCTCTCTAGGAGATATTCGTTGCTCTCTTGGAGCACTGCTGGGCCCATCTTGGAGTTCCCTGGGCGACATTGGAGCCACCTTGAACCCCAGAAGCCCATCAGAAGCGAAAGGGCGAGAAACTCAATATGACTGAGCCCACTAGGTGCTTGGATGATTGGGCCTGTTCGGGTCATCCTTGGGAGGCCCCAGAGCCCCATGGAGCCGTCTTGGAGACGTCCTCTGTCCTCTTGAAGACATGCTGGACGGCATGCTAGCCCAATTTAGCCCACCTTCCACCATGCTGGGAAGAAGTCTTTGCTGGGGAAGTAGTGGAGCCATCTTGGGCCACCTTTGGCGCTCTGACCGCTCGGGGCTCCCATGTCCAGACCCAGGAGACTGTGTAGGTGTAGAAGCAAAACCCTTCCCGAAGGAGAGAAAGGGGCTGAACGAGTTGACCCGATGAACAACGTATGCCCACAGAGTTGGTGGAAGTATGCGTGCATCGCCTGTTCAACCTCATGGGCGTGGACGGTGCTTACGCGCATCGCTACTATAGCACTCTATGCTAGGAGTGGAATAATTGAATGTGTTGTGGCATTGCCTTGTTTGTATGTTGTTAGGTGCGTTTCTCATCTCCGCCTTCGGCAGCAGAATGATTTCCGCTGACATGCGCGCAACAGCCCGTGCAGAGCGCGCTTCGGCGCACGTTGCGACCTTGGCCCCTGATCGCCGCGTTCGCACTGAATGCCGTACTGTTTCATTTCTGGAAGGTGTTGGTTCTGGCTGT